CCCACCATGATTGTTTTTGTAATCTGGTCAGTAAATAAACAGTGGCTGGTTTCAGACTGCAATATATTGCTGTATTAGTAACTTTTTTGGTAACTTGTCTCTGCCTTGCCTTAACTACTGTGGCACATCTTGGTGCTTGGCAAAATTAAGCCAAAACTTCTGTAAGACTAGCGTCCATTTTATTATTTTGTGAAAATTGCTTAGGAACTATTGAAAGGCTTTTCCTACACCAGAAAGGCCTGATGTTTCCCCTTTTGAATTTTGCTGAGTAAAAATGGGTTTATTCAACGAAAACTTATTTCAGGACATTCATGCATGATTTGTAGGTAAGGTAATAAAGATCAGTTCACCAAAAACGTAAAATAAATAAATAAAAAAAAATCAAATGCTAGTGATCAAAACCACTGTAACAAAACTGAAGAACGCCTTTGATGGGCTCATTGGTAGAGTAGACATAGCTGAGGGAAGAATCTCTGACTTTGAGGATGTTAACAGAAACTTTCAAAACTCAAAAGCAAAGATAAAAATATATTGGAAAAGCAGAAAAAAAATCCACAAACTGTAAAACAACAGTTTTTCCAGCACCAAACAACAGATTCAGGAAGCCCAAAGAGCACCCAGCAGGATAAATACCAAGCAAACAAACCCTGGACCTGGGCAGGTAGTATCCAGACTGCAGAAACATATAAAGGAAAAAAAACAAATCTTGAAAAAAGCTAGAGGCAAGAGCTGGGAGAAAGGAATTAGGACTACTTTGTTGTCAGGTACTTGCAGTACCTGTAAACTGACATCGTGTTATTTGAAAGTGAATGACTGAGTAGTGTTCATGATGAGATAAAACCATGTTGTACACTGTAAAGACGCACAGGTGATTAAATGCAAATGTAAATAAAGCAATTTTTTTAAAAAGAGAAAAGTAGAGACGGATTAGTTGCAAATGTATATTACAAACCGTAGGGCAGCCACTAAATAATAATAATAATAATATAATAATAATAATAATAGAAATAAGTATAGTTGATATGCTAAAAAGAAGAGAGACAATGGAATCACACACAAAAAACTTAACTAAACCCCCCCCCCGAAAAAAAAAGCAAAAACAAACCAAAAAACCCCCAGCAGATGGTGTAATGGTTATTATGTTGCTGACTCCCACATGGCCAACCGTGGTTCGAGTCTCAGACCCAGCATGCCCAAAATCCCGAGAGGAGAATGGAGGAAAAAGAACTGCAGCATGGACATCCCTCCTGGGGGAGGGGGCGGGTGTGATTTCTCACTTTCTCTCTCTCTGTCTCTCTGGCGAGTGGGCGCACCCTATAGCAAAGATCTCTCTTAAGACCTGCGGGCGTGCACGCACACAAATTCGCTAAGCCTGTAGCAAGGGTAACTAAGGAAAATCGAGGGAAGATGCAACTCACTGATCTGTGGAGAGTAGTTAGTTTGAAAACATGTGATAAAAATACATGGCCTGGAAGAAATAAATAAGGTATTATCTGCTGAAGATAACTTTATAGTATTATCAACTGGACTGGGGAGAAATGTATACATGTTGGAATATTCAGTTTGCTAGCTAAATAATGTGATTGTATAAAATAGCTTTAAATAAAAGAAATAAACACGCAAAAAAAAAAAACACGTGGCCTGTAGACATATATAAAAATGCGCTTCTGGTATTGGGGTATTGGATATCAACAACGACAGGAAGATAACCATTCACAGGCAGATACTGCTTTTGTATGCACACGCTTTTCAATAGCCTTGCTAGAGTAGCTCACGGAAGCCCGTTTTTGTATGTGTCTACAGGCCACCTGTTTTTACCACGTTTTCAGACTGGCTGCTCTCCGCACTGATGCAAGGCACAGAGAAGAGGACATCACGACAAATCCATGATGGACAGTAAAAGAACAGAGTACTATGAACAGTTCTATGCCCACAAATCTGATCATCTAGTTGAAATGGGTGGATTCCTTGAAAGACACAATCTGCCGAAACTCACCCACGAGGAAACAAAACAACCGCAATAGGGTTCTATTTAGTAAATACATCGAATGAACACGTAATGAACTTCAAAACACAGAAAGCAGCAGGCCCAGATGGATTCGGTGGTAAATTCCACCAAGCATCTCTTTCTCTACAATCTCTTCCAGATAATAGAAACAGAGGGAACAGTTCCTAACACATCCGATGAGGCCAGCATTATCCTAACACCAAAACCAGACGAAGGCAGTGTGAGAAAAGAAAACTACAGACCATTCTCTCTCACGAATGTAGATGCCAAACATCCTCAACAACAACAACAACAAAATATTAGAAAATCGAATCCAACAATGTATGAGAAGAACGGTGCACCAAGACCAAGTGGGCTTTATTCCAGGAACACAGGGCTGATCCTCCTGGAAGAGAGGGGCCGGGAAAGAGCAGGGCATGAGGGGCCCCACCACATGGCCCAAGTGTCCCAGTCCCTGTGGAAAAGCCGAGGCCCCCTCCACCTCACCTGAGGGGACCCCAGCTTCGACCAGCCCGGCGTGAGATAGTAGATGATGCCGTCCGAGGCTCCGGGCAGCAGCGAGCGCTCCACGCACCAGCAGCACCACGAGGACCACGTAGGGGAATGTGGCTGCTCAGAGGGGCCCCAGGCCCCCATCTGCCCCAGCCTGAGGCAGGCCGACTCCCAGCACTGCAGAGAGCTGCCTGGCCTGGCCAGGCCACGCTCCCACACCCCGACTCCCCCCCCTCCACCCCGTGGGCGGGGGTGCTGGGAAGTCAGCAGGGAGGCCAGCCGGTAGCCCCGCGTTTGATTGCTCAGAGACCAAGCTCCCC